CTAAAACCGCTTGTGTCAAGTATTTTGTAGATATTCTTTCGGAATATGAACTTGGACCAGGTGAGATACAGTGATGTTTTGCCTAAGAAACAACTTGGAAGGCCCGTTATGTTTCAGTTTAACCAGAATATGTTTTAGTGTTGTGATTCAAGGAGCGCAATGTATTTTGCTGTGTAAGAAGTCCTCAGTTTACATCGTCTACACTTAAACGTTGTTTCGATATACCATCGTTAGGTACATTTCGAAAGATTCTGACGTCGTACTTCAAGTAATTTTTTCTTGGCTTGGCTACACTACCCACAAATTCGCAGATTTATCCACCAAGTTCCGCTTTTATTGCTTTCAGAAATTTACCGTTACCTATGAAATACAGTCTAAAATGTACAACATACTGTAGCCAAGAGGTTGTTTCGTCATTCTTAAGAAAGTTTCGATTCCGCTCGTTCTGTTAATGTCGCTTTTTCCGGGAACGTACATGCGACATTAACCAAGGACTTACAATATTTAATGCCAGCATGACCGTAATCTAAGTTATGGCTACCGTGAAGAATTGTTTACTGCTTTGCATCGAGTTTAGTGAGGCTGAAACAGATCCCGACTTTTGTAGAGGACAAGAGCAGAACGTGAACGCCTACAAGCAGCAGTCTCTCAAGTGCGAACCGAACTGGCAAAATGCAAGTCTGAACAAATAAAGGCAATAGAGGTAATGCAAATTGTTTCGGCATGATGCGAATGCGTCAAATCTTTTTTTCACTACTAACCATTTTGTAGGCATTGCAAGCGTCGAAATGCGAAAATGAGCGCTTACTCCAGGAAGCAAACGAGGGTCAGAGCAAACTCAGTGCTTCCGTAAGCGAATCTGAACTCTCTTCGTAAGTTTTCCACTTTGTTTACGTTCCAGATAACTGTTTATATAGGCTTACTATCAAGGTAATTTCAGCCATCTGCAAACAGGAACAGCGGTGAAAGACAATACCGTAACAGCATAAATTATAGTTTATAACTTATTTTTGTTCGAACTGTATGAACTTCTGTGCACATCTTATACTTGCATGCTTTGTAATTAGACGTGCCTAGTTCGTTCACTTTCAAATATGCATTGAAAATCAACATTTATGACAGTATCAAATTAAATGGCCAATTTTAAAATTAACTAGGTAAGACAAGTCAGAAAAACGTTGTTTATTTTTCAGAACGTATAACAGCGGTATATCCCTATGGTAAGCAGATAGTGACATTTGGGTCCATGTTTCAGCTGTTTCACCAGGTAAAGTTTTTTGTTGATAGCAGTTAATGCTTAGTGAGCAATAATCCTTTGCTTTTTGATCGAAAGCAATCGGCATTATGAACAGAATCTGCTCTACAAAGACTTTAAATACTAACAGAAAAGTTGAAGTCAGTTTAACCTCATAAAGTTATCTTAAACTGTGATAGGAACACCACTTTGGGTTGTTTTTATATGACTGATGATGCGTCACCAAGAACGCATGTTCGGTATGAGAACAATTGTATCAAGAAACCGTGTCATGGCGGAGTTCATTTTTTCCATAATCAGTAGACTTGGTCGAATGTTTCGGTTACGTGATTCGTTTACCTCTTGGTCGCTGCCGGGATGGCAGCAGTTGGACATCATTGAAAATATTTATAGCCGCTGCAGTGGTTCCATGGACAGAAATCTGTTTGCAGCCTCGCCACTTGAGCAAATAGATCAGTTCTGCTGCAACCTTTAAGTAAATGATTGGGAAAAAATAGTCTACTGAGTTTTGTTTCAGACGAAATCACACCTGACGTCTATGTCTATATGGAAGTCGTTTAGGTTTTACCAGTCAGAGGTTCTTGCTTTACCACCGGAAAAAGTCTTGAATGTGTTTTGTTCCCTTACTAACCTGCCTAGAGCAATTCACTTATTAGCAAAAAATTAATATTGGCATAAAATAACGGATTCATATCTTCTCCGAGTTTGTGCAACATAATTGCGTGGGCTCTTTAAACAGGTATTATACCAGCACGACCTTATTTTATTATGACTACGGTACGCGACTGCAAAATCGCATCACTTTGTTAGGTCATACAACAACCTAGCATTGGTGCTTCGATGAGGCTGTTGTTCTACGCAAGAAATGGCATGGTTTTGCATTCATAGTGTGCTACAGTGGAATAAATATACTGTAATGCCGTGACTTATGCTCTGATTTTAAAAGGTCTCGTCGGTCCTCTGTAGGCAAGTGCGATTATGCTGTGTAAACCGGGAGAAAGTGCATATTGATTATTCTCACGGGCTATCGCGAGGACCACTTCTTTCTAATTTCCATTTTTTCTTGGATGCTGATATTAAACATTCAGTTGTTATTGTCGTTGCTTGAACGGTGTTGCTCTTTTTCTGCTCAGATTTTTTAGATTTATGTTTTGATAATTTTACTGTGTAATATTTAGAAAGTTAGCAGCGGATATAAAGGAGATGAAACGCATCGACGATGAGACCGTAGAACGTTTGCACCAAACCAAGGATCCGTTACCTCAGTACCGGCAGCGAGTGATAAATTATATCCCGGAAAATCAACACATGAAGCGGTTGGATTCGGAAGTAAGTTTCGCGTTGACTAGGCTCTGAATAAACGCTTTTCGGCACTGATTTTTTATAGGAACCGTACAAGCAGAAAGATCATGCTGAAGCCGAAAACCAGGTCGCCATCGATCAATATCAATCTCAGATTGTGGAGATGCAGAATCATTTGGACGAAGGTGATGAGTGTATCGTTAGAATGAAGCTCGAAAACGATGCACTACAGCTTCAAGTAAAATCTCAAAATGCCATGGTCCCTCATCAACAAGCGAAAATAGCTGAATTGTGCAAGGTAAATTGAAGTTTATATGTGAGTGCAGTGGCACAGTTTTGATCTGTTGTATTTTTAAATCATTTGTCAGCGGAATGACTGTTGGTTTATTTGGAGACAAGTTAAACTCCTTGAATATGACTATTTGAATTCTGGGAAAGTGCCCAAGAAAAGTGTGACCGCTGCACAGTTTCAAAATACTGAACAGACACCAGGTTCCAGTCTAGTGTTAGGATTACATTTCTGGAAATCGAGACGTTAGGCTGATAGC